CGGGAGATACTACGTAGTGAAGTTCCAAAAATATATTTAAGATTATAAATATATTTAACAACTGGGTAATTAAATTGAGAAGGAAAGGGGCTAGGAAGAGTGGCTGGGGGTAGGAATTCTCTTCAGGTGGTAGCTAATAATATCCTGTAATGGTAGTATATACTGTAAGGAGAGTAACTATCAGAATAACCAAATTGCCATTGGTAGGGATTGCTTTTTTTAATCCTGTGTGTTATTTTTTTAACTTTGTACATTAATAACTTTAGAAAATTTTACTGATCCATAGTTTGCTGAGGGTCAGAATTTATATCAAATTTCGTTTTAATGTTTTTTCATTGCTTACCTAAAGTGGGCTACACGTGTTATAGAGGGGAAGATGAATCAAAGAATTAAAATTTATAAATGGCACAGTGGAACAGGATGTGTGTGGGAAAGTTAAAATGCAGAAATCCACATTTCTGAGTAGTGGCATGACTTCCTAATTGTAGTATTTCTCATTCTTACCGTTTCCGTAATCACTTCTGATAACAAATATTTCTCTTTGTATTTTTAAAATTTTGTAAAATTTCATATATATTTTTTAAGTAGAGAGTAGTAGATTTCAGCATCCTTATTTACTGAAAGAAACTGCTGCTAAGGATCACCTTGATGTACAGTATTATAGACAGTGTAAGAAGGAGAATGCTTATTAGAAAAGTAATTTTTTTTAATGATTTTTTTTTTTTTGAGAGAGAGAGAGATGGTGAGAGAGAGAGAGCACAAGCGGGGAGGAGAGGGAGAAGCAGGCTCCCCAGTGTGGGGCTTGATCCCAGTACCCTCAGATCATGACCTGAGCTGAAGGCAGATGCTTAACCAACTGAGCCACCCAGGTGCCCCAGAAAATGAGTAATTCTAATAAAGGCACTGGGCCCTCTGGATAAAGGGGGAGTGGGACAAAAGGTACTGGGAGAGTAAATAGGTCCTTCTACTAGAATGGTGTATTTTGCTTTCATGTATTTCATCTCACCAATCACTCGAGTGAGGTGTAAGGTTGAAAGCCACCTTTGCGAGGGTTCTGGACTTAATGGCCTAGGAAGGCCGACCCTAATTTCATGGCTCTAGGATTGTGGATGTTAGCTTTCTCTTGGGCCTCCATGATGTCCATCATGTAATCCTTGTAGGAGAGCTTAGTATTGTTTATCTGTATGAATACCATATACATACCCCCTCCCCCCCATTATTCGGAATAGTTCTTTAGCATACATTTGAAACAACAGAAGGGTAGAGGGGGAGCAGTGGATATTCTGACAAGTGGAGTCATCAGGAAGGAAATGGCATGTCAGACAGATTGCAGAGGGAGGCTAGGGTTTAGAAGAACACCTAGCAGATAAGGTATAGGGTCAAACCTCACAGATTGATTTTCATCATTTGAGAAGCACTATATTAAAATAGTAGATGGCTTTGGGTTTTGCTCAGCTAGTCTGTTTGTTTTAGCCCTGGTGTAATTGAATAGCATTTTTGCTTCTTTTAAAGCTATAATGGAATAAATTACAAATATTTATACGTAAAGACGGGATATTCACCTGCCCACTTTATTTTTAAAAATCATTTCATTATCAGGTACTTCCAATAGGCACTATATGCTTAACACTAAGGGAAAACCAGAGAAATTACAGCAACCCTTCCACATACACGCACTTTTATCTCCTCTATTTGTAGACCTAAATGAAATTGAAACTTGCTTTTTCTTTACCCAATCTAAAGTTAATTTCAGTGCAGAATTAGTATTTCCAATCTATGAAGGAAATGACTTTGCTTTAAAAATCTTGTTTTTAATTTAGGTAATGTGATCACATCATTCAAATTTATTTTTTAGAAAAATAACTGGTTATATCTTTTTCCCCCATCCACCTACTTTTCATTGCCATGTCCAAAAGGTATATTCGATTATGTTTTTTGTCTTTTTTAGTGTTTAAAATGCGTATTTTGGCAGATACAGATATATGTATTTTTATTCTCCCCTTTTTGCAGAGAAATCGTATACTGTATATACACTATTCGGGACTTAGTTTTTCTTAACAGTGTAACTTAGGGATTTTTCCATTTTAGTATGTAGGGATTCCTATTTTTTTTTTTTTTTAACTACACAGTATTCTATTATATGTATTTTCCATAGTTTTAATAGTCTCATCTTGGGGAATATTTAGGTTTTTCCAGTCTTTTGCAAGCTACGTTGCTTTAAAAAACCTTGTTCAATTTTGCATGTATGCAAGTGTTATTTATAGGATCTATCCCAGGAAATTTATTTGCTGGATAAAAGCATTATGAAGATAGAGCTTTTGGTAAGTAGTGCCAGAGTACTCTTCACGAGATAGTATTGTGTATCTTTGGAATTTGTCAGTATGGTAGGGTGAAAAATACTGTGTAATTTAAATTAGATTTCTCTTAAGGGTTAGGTTGTGATGTTCAGACCCTTCCCTCTTCAAGGTTCTAATCTGCTTTTCTCAGGGCTGAGTGAGAACAGTAGGGAACAGTGAATCTCGGTGTTTATATTCCTAAGGGTTTCCCAGGCACATGGACACATCAAGAGTCTTTACCTTGATTTAATTGCACTTGCCAAACTCTTATCCAAATGTCTGATAATTTGTTAAAACTGGATAAAGTAATTGGCATATGAATTCACTAAAGATGATCAAAGGCAGTTAATTCTTTTCTTTAGTAATTATCAGTGGAAGTCTAAGCACGAAAGTGGTGGTTTGAAATGGATGTACAGGTTAAGGTTTCAGTAGGTGGAAAGAATGGCATGAGCAGAGGGGGAGGTAGGATAGATAAACCAAGCATAATTTGAGAAAGAATAGTATATACACAGTGGGAGCCAGATTATAGAAAGTCTTAAATAGTATGCTCATTTGGGAAGTTAGGCCATATTCTGCGCATGGTAGAAGTCACTGGAAGCTTGAGGGCATGCGAGAACAGAATGATGTTCCAGAATGGTGAGACTGGTAGCATTCTGTAGGGTGGATGAGGATACTGGGAACAGGGAAGTCCTGTGAGGTCTCTAAGGGAGGTGGGGCCCTGCGCTGGTATGGTGGCTGTGCATGTGGAGCTCCAGATGAGACATCTTAGTGGAAAAGACAGCATGAAGGAAGTAATAACCAACTGGTTGGCTATTTGCTTGTGTCAGGGAGGAGGGAAGAGACAGAAGAAAGCTACAGAACACGGGTGGTGGTAGAGAAGGTCCTAGAAAGGACCTAGAAAGGGCTGATTTATTCTCTGGTTAGGTTTGAGGAATTTGAATCTTGGACATGTTGAATTTTGAAGGTACCCGGAGGTCTCCCTGGTATGTGTCCTACTAGCCAGCTGTAGCTTAGGAAATGCAGCTTACGAAAATGGTCTGAGAGATGGGAGATCTATTTTACTTCTCTGTTGGGTTTTCCATCTTGCCTGCCGACCACATTCCCACTTCTTTAAAATACCGATCTTCCTCATCTTTGACCTTTACTTGATTACTGTGGATGTCTCTACCTTTTTGTCTACACCCCCCCACCATCTTGAAGTAAAACAAACCTCTTTGTGTTACTTTGGTATTTAAAAGTCAGGGGTTTTTTGTTTTGTTTTGTTTTTAAACATTTTATGTTGCATACCGGAGTCCATCACCTTTCCCATACTCTGGCATAAAGCCTGTGATGCAGTCACATTGAATGTTACTGTTTCTGAGCAAAAAGTCTATCAGTGGAGACAAACCGGAGTGAACAGGTGGAGAGCCTTAATGTTTTTGAATCACCAGTGTTTCGTATTAAAGAACATGTGGGAGGGGAGAAAATTTTTAAAAGACCTAAGTTCAAGTGAACAGAAGAATGAATAAAGAGGTCGTTAAGCATTGTAGTTCTGACCATCTAGGAAATAATTTTAGTAGAGTAATGGAGATGGAAGCAATGACTTTAAAATCTGACTTTGGGAATAGGAAAGCATTCAGTGGATGCAGTGAATGTTTTAAATTGAGGGTCAGATAGTGATTTTCCTGAGATTTAAAAATTCAAGGTTTGAGCAGGTTTTCTTCAACCTTGGCCCTGTTAACATTTGGGGTTGGATAATTCCTTGTTGTGGGGGGCTGACCTATGCATTGTAGGATGTCTAATAGCATGCCTGTGCTCTGCCCACTAGATGCCAGGAGCCACCTCCTGTTTGTGACAACCAGAATCACCAGCACACATGGCCTAATGTTTCTTGGGAGGGGAGAGGAGGGGTAAAACTGCACGTGGGTGAGAAATAAGGACGTGGGCATGGGGTTTGGGGGAGGCAGAACGAGAGACTTGATGAGGAGGGAGAAGGAGAATGGCCTGAATTTTTTTGGGGTGAAGACAGGAAATGCGTAGACAGCACAGGAAGGAAGTTGGTTCCATAAGACTGAAGGAGTTAAAGGCCCTGCAGAAGTTAATTATGCCAGTGTCCACTTGAAAGTGAAAAGCATTTCATAGTCAGCTAGGTGGAAAGGGTCTTTAATTTTTTCTTCAGAGAAAAGGGTCTTTAGTATTTCTTGGTTGTATATTGACAGTGTAATGTAGCCCCAGTAGGGATTTTTTTCTTACAACTTCGTCTTTCTAATGATAAATCTATGGTAATTGGTAGATAACTTGCTCTTTGGAAAAATTGATTCCTTGTTTCATAATTGAAAATCTCTTCATCTGATACACTGAAGGTGTAGATAAAAATAGGTAATAGGACAAAATCTATACTGATCTTAAAACATGATTTTAGAAATTTCCATTTTCAAAATGTGTTAAGTGCTTTTTTGCAGTATTTTAAAACATTTTTCATAACAAAATCAGAAAATTAGGCAGAATTAATAAGGAGTTCTAATTCCTCAGTGTTTTTTCCTTGATCACTTTTTGTGTGACCTTACGCAGGTAAGTATGTTATTCAACATACTGTTGTTTGTAAGCTGTCACCTGATCTCCCAATATTACTAATAGAAGACATGAAATTCATAGAAAGTTTTAATGTTTACTTTTCACCTTCAGGCTGAAGAGCAGTTGAGAATTGTTGAAGAACAAAGAAAGATTCATGAGGAAAGGATGAAACTAGAACAAGAGCGGCAACGTCAACAAAAAGAAGAACAAAAAATTATCCTGGGCAAGGGGAAGTCCAGGCCCAAACTGTCCTTCTCACTAAAAACCCAGGATTAAATTGCAAACTCTGAACTTTTTACGAAGAAAAATGGAAAAACTTTGTATGGTAGCTTCATGTTGAAGTGGTTTTTTGTTTTGTTTTTGTTTTTGTTTGTTTTTTTTTTAATTTGGAAAATCTGGAAAAGTTAGCTTGTTCTAATAGGGGCTATGCTCTGCATTCCTTTTTTCCCCCCTTAACTTCCATTAAGTCAGATCCTTATCAGATCATTGTTGTCTTCTAGAAAGTGATCTATTTTTCACCTGTTTGAATTCTGTGTTAGTGGTCTGAAGAAGAGCAGATCACTTCGTAAACTGTGGATGGTCTGATAAGGTTTTTACTGACCCATTGACTTCAGAGTTATACTCTGTCTATTACATCATAATGCTGGTTTTGCTGACTTTTTGTTTTTTTATATATTTATAAAAAAAGAAAAAGTTGGAAATTGCATTGGAAGCTCCCAGGGTGTTATTGGACCTGTGTGGTGTATTGTTAAACCAGTGTCCTTGTGATACTGTTGCTCTTGATGTTCCTGATACAGGTAAGGAAACAGTCGGTCAGCTCTGGTACAAAATATATATACAGTTCAGTATTGTGTCTGTTCAGTCTGTTTTTATTTCATTGACAAAATCAAACCAGCATTCCCCATTGTGTAAATAAATGATTTTGCTGAATAAAGTAAAGTCTTAAATTCATATGTTGAAGCAATTTTTTTTAAAGTTCTGTTAAGTCTTAAAGAGGGTGGTTTACTTTTTGATGGTCAACAGTTTAGAAATCCTAGAACTATGCTATATTTCCTCATTTATACTTTTAATGTAGGATTTATATGTACATTAAATATACTCATGAACTAGTATTTAATGGCTATTTTTACAAATACCTAATTTATGCTGCTATGGCAATTAAGACATCAGTATTACCTGTAAGAAAGACTAAGCGCCCAGAAGATGATTTAAATTCTCAATCCTGTGCCTCTGTTTTAGGATAGAAGTATTACTACCACAAATTATACTTAATAAAAGACTAGAAAAATGCTTCTAAAAATTTATAGAATCTTAGATTATTTTCAAAGTGGGCCATCAGAAAGAACTTAGCTTTGTACTTTCACAAAAGGCTAAGGTAGTCAAATCCTCTTCAATGTAGGGTACCTGCACGTTTATTTTCAGGACAAACACATTTAAACTTCTTACGAGTTTTTGTTTTGTTTCTGCATGTGAAACCTTATGGATGACTTTTATACACTAGACTCTGCCTCATTTATCTTTACATATGTTTGTTTTAAGTCTACTGGTATTAAAACATTTATTGAAGAAAGCGATATACCTGAGATGCATAAACATGTCATCAAAGTAGAATGTTCTCCAGTATTTTTAAGACCATTTGATCACTCTTTCCAAGTGAAACATAAGTTAATGAGATGACTAAATGGTAGATTATTTTGTGTGTGCATGTTAAGAAAATGCTATTGCTTTAGTTAGAGCTCTTCAGTGAGTCTAATTGTGGTAAGGAACAATACTATCAGTTTAAATATCCTTAAAGGTAGAATTTTAAGTAGGCATGAACTGTAGTGAGAACTGACTTATAAACATGATACCTATTACTCTAAAACAATCACTTTATTTACCTAAAGAATATAGGTTGCTTATGAATCTTTTTTTTAACCTTTAAATATAGGTTAGCTCTAATTATTTCATGATTTTTTTTTTTTAATGTAACTTTTTTTTGCTGCAGATCCATTGTTCTTAGGCTGTGTATTCAAGTTTTGGGAAATGTTTACTTAAAATTGTTTTGCTCTTCAAGTGTTATAAACATTGTATCTAAGAGAGTAGCCTGGACTTAATATTTGAAATTAGTTTATGCGTGCCTTTTAATTTTTAAAGAATCTCTTACTGCCACATATGGTGTGAAATCACAGTAAGTTGCTTAGTGACATCGCAGTATCTGCTTGCTGTTGGAGACTCTCATCAGATACTGAAATTGTTCCTGTGCCAGGCTACAGGAAAGAGGATGTAATTGTTAATAAAATACACCCAATCTTTCTGTGCTGCAACAATGTGTAGTAATTTGTTTTCTTCATTTGTTTCCACTGCCTTTGTATACGTATTATAAAAGTTCAAATTCTCTCCCAATTTATTAGCAGTTCAGATGTTCCCTAATTTATTAAATATGCCTTTATTCACAATTTGTTTTTTAGGTTATTCTTAATGCATTATAGAATTAACTAATGACTTGTTTATTTTTATTCCAGTATTTAAAATATGTAGTTATTGGATTTTTATTGTGGAGTTTGCAGAATTATCAATTATATAAATGAAACCTTTAAATTAGCTTGGTGTGAGGACTCTTTAATGCTTGCAAAGAGGGGAAGGGGTTTGTAGTTATAGATTTACTGCTCCAGTTTCCCTTATGAAGATGTAGCAAAGTAGGCCCTGTCTTCAGTTAACTACCCAGTCATGTAGTTACGCCTAGTATAGGTCTACAGCTATTTTGTATGGCCACCAGTATTTTAAAAATTTTCAGTGATGTTGCACCTCTTTTTAATTTTCCAGATTAAAATAAGCATAGAATCCTGGCTTGTTGAAGCCCATGTATCATTTCTGATACCTCATTTTATATTAAGCATCCTCCACTTGTCACTTAACTAAAATTTCTCCAAAGCTGTTACTATTAACTAGAGCTTCTGATTTCAGTTATCTTAATTTTCTGCTCTTTTACACCCAGAAACCTCCGTTTTGGATTACTAGCCATGAGAATTTCTGAAGACAGGATATCTTCATGTTTGAGACTTGCCATTCTCTCCAGGAGTCTCAGGAACACTCAAATGCCAGAATGTTACTAATTTGTGAAAGGACCACTAAAGGGAGAAGAGCCTCAATCTAGGAGTCTCGAATGGGTGTTGAAGCCCAAGCAGTAGGTCCTACTTTCTCATTGGTTGAATTGGCCACTTAGCCTAGATGCCTTTATCATCTTTGTTATTCCTGTTTTTTGTTCACTCCTCTGGTTTTGTTTTTCTGAACATTCAGTTGTCTGGAATTAGAGTTGCTACTGGTTCAGTAATCTAGAAGATTTGCACTTGCTAATGCACTGCACAGTACATTTTGAAGCAGATTTGTCATTGGTTTTCAGATGATGAGATCATATTGATCTGATATATTGTGTATCTGTAGTTACTACAGTAACTGATACGCAGAAGATTGTTCTTTTCCAAAGCATCCAGTGGTTGGATCAGAAGATGTTGGAACAGTTGTATTTTATATATGTATTTCTTTAGACATATTACTGTGAAGCCAGTAAGTTAAAAGAGTAAAATTTTCAATGGTCCGGCAGTTTCACGCTCGCTCAGGAATTCCTAATTGGGGGTGGGGGGGGTGGGTGCTGTGTGTTTAGGAGTGTCACTACAGCTCGTGATTACTAAACCTGGCTTACGAGCATTAGAATAAAATAGGTTTATTCTTTTGTATATGTTTGAATAATGATTTTCTTCCTCATTTTCCAGGCTTACGGAAATGCAGTATGGGTTGAGGAAAAAAAGTAGCAAGGAATTTTAACAAAGGAATACATAATTGCAGCCTCTTCTAAGTGCTGTTGAATATCTTACTGTAAAGTGGGATAGAGGGCACAAAAATGGTTTTATGGACCCATAACCTATTAATCTCCTTACGATTTCCATTAGTGATATCCTTTATATGTTCAAAGCAGAATTTAACTTGTTATTATAATGGTGTGTCTATATTGTCAGTCTACAAAGTGGGAATCCTGTGTAGAGAGGTTAGAGTTAGTATTAATGAGTGGTAAAACCGAAACTGCACAGCTTTTAACCTGTTTATCTCCAAACTACCTAAACCAATTTGGAAGGGTGACAGGAGTTTGGCCCGTTCTCTAAAACCTGTTGGTTTGCAACTCAGGAAGTGAGATTTCATGCCAAGTGCTTAAGTTAGTTGGAGCCATAACTGTACTCTTTCCACATATGCTCATTTTGCATTAATAATATAAAAGCAATGATCGATTATAAATGAGATTTAAATGAAGCAATGATCGATTATAAACTAGAGATTTAAATGACTACTGTAGTGGAAAATAATGGTATTTTAGTTCCATAAGGGATATATTGTTAACAGTTGAGAAGGTCAGTTGTCACCAAACTTCCCAAAGGGAAAAATGATGTTATTTTGAACCAGAGCGCAATGTAGTAACTATCCCTACCAAACTCCTAAATATAGGTAGATGCTAATTTAAGGTGTTTCAGTGTGTAAGCTGAACTTTAGAAGCACATGATGCAGGAGTGTACGGCAAAGTTTACTGAGAAAAGACTTCACTTTTGTTTTGAAAGGTCTTCCCTTTGAGGAATTTGAGCAGTATCATTTGCAGAAGAGTCCTGAAAATTAACGGTGACTTTTATGAAATAAACTGCATGCAATGGCAGGAAATCTTAGTAGAGTCTTACAGCTACATAGAAAGTCTATGGCTTGGACAACATTTACTCAACATGTATATCAAATTTCAGTAATTTTTCTGTAATGTTACATTTAGATAAGGCTTTTGTTCTTTGTTTTACAGAAGTTATGTTAAAGATGTCTTTTGAAGTACACCTAAGAATTGATGGATTACTATACAAGAAACAACCATAAGGTCTAAAGACTAAAGCATGCATAGGAACTCAAAAGGGGCAGGAATATGACCTTACTAAGGTGCATGTACTAGGGCGAAATTGGCTGCCATCTTAATTTTTTAAAGCGAAATTACCTAGCTTTACATTTGCTACTTCATCATACATTTATTCAAACATATTTCTATCAATTTTTATTGACTATCTGGAATTCCCCAAATTTTTATTAACTTAAGAAACAAAGTAACTTGCTCAACTGAGATAAAACTTCATTTTTTTTTTTTTTAATGTGTGGGTGAAGATGTGCTGGTAAAATCGTGGATTTTCAGAAATTACCACATTTCTCCTGACAATTTAGTCACAAAATGAAGTCAAAGTACAAACATGCATTAAGCTGATGTGATAGGTTCTTTCTGGTTTGGCATGCATTAAAATTTCACCTTTTGTCTTGTACATGCTGATGTAACAGTTTTTGCGTAGCATTGTATGTACAGTAGTAGACACTGATGGCTTGAGGTGATGCTTTTAATTACAGTTGCCCCTTGAACAACTTGGGTTTGAACTGCATGATTCTATTTACACAGGAATTTTTTTTTCAATAAATATAATACAGTACTGCAAATGTATTTTCCTTATATTTCTTAACATTTTCTTGAGCTTGCTTTAAGAATACAGAATATACATAAAACAACAAAATATGTGTTGGTTGATTTTACATTATCGCTAAGAGTTCTGTAGTTAAGTTTTGGGAGAGTCCAAAGTTAAACAGGGATTTTTGACTGGGGTGGTTGGTGCTCCTTACCCTCTCCCTCGTCCCCAGGTCAACGGAACTGAAATTACCATCTCAACAGCAGTGGAACATTTTATCATCTTGAAGTTGTTACTGCTGATGTTTTTCACCTAGTCTTCTACAGATAAATTAATCCTTATTTACTGAAAATAAATTGATGAATATTCACACTCTAGTTATACCATAGGAATCTTTGTGTAGGACTTTATTTTTTGGTCAAATACACTTTGTTTAAAAAAGAAGCAGTTTTTACATGTACATTTACATTTTCCCCAAGGCAAAATGCTTTGGGTGTGTGAATATCTGATTTACTAAAAATGGAAGCTAGGGTTATTTTCAGACAATGCAAATTTCCTTTATTTCCTCTAGTTTACTTGGAGAGAGGATGTAGGAGCTAAGAGGTCACCAACTTAAACTTCACAAAAGAAATTCGCCAACTATGAAACATGGTACTGAGATACTCATTTCTTGTAGAATATTAAGCTCGCTTTACATTAAATTTCAAACGAATTCCTTAAAATGTTTTAGGCTTACTAAAAACCACTCCTTTTTTACCCTTGTGACAAAGTTATGAATAATACCACCTGCCCCTTCCTGGTATTTTAGTCCTCATGGGAATGCCCATGACTTCAAATCGGTTTGCAATCTTTGAGCCTTTTTTTAAAAAAATTATTTCCTCAAATTGGAGGCTTATTTTTAAACTAGCTAGCAAATAGGGAAAATGAAGTCGTTTTCAAAGATTTACCTGGAGTAGTATAAATGTATTTGTTACCTCCCGTGCCTTAGTGTTTTCGAGCGCAGCAAACTAGTCCTAACAAAATGTCAACACTCCAGGGTGAAATGTACATTAGCTTATGTTTACTATTTCCAAAAAGGAATACTTACTAAGCCGTAAAAATCTTCGAACTTATAAAGAAGAGTGAGAGAAACACTAGTATCTAAATGAGATGTTTTACAATATATATTTTTTAAATTTAGCTTAGTAGATAATTTAGCTAAAGAAATACAATTTGTAGGAATACCGTCTGGTTCCTTGCGTTTGAAACATTAAAGAAATCCTGGAGTAGACAGGATTTTTTTAAAGCATGTTGTGGGTATACGGCATATTTTATTTTTTTCAAACTGTGACTTGTACATTAGTACTGTGCCCTACCGCCGCCGAATTCTCCCTGCTGTTGGTCATTTTAGAAGCTTCTGCTTCGGGCTTTCTGCGGGGTTGGGTTCCCGGGGTTCTGGTTCCGGGTGGGCGGGCTGTGGTGCGCTCGCGGGGAAGTCAGGCCGGCCGCTAGTGGGCGCTGTGGGTCCGTGGAAGCCGTCGACGCGGTGGCGCTCGTCCAAGGCGTTCTTTAGGCAAGGGCAAGCACTTGCCGAGAACCACAGTGAAGAATTCCTGCCACCTCTCCATTTGGGCGCTATTTGTCACCGTCACCCCTAAACTCTCGGTCACCTTGGGGCGGCGTGAGTGTGTCCCAGAGGCTAATTAAGAAGAAGGTCCCGCGGCGGGCGCGGGTATGCCAGCGACACTCGGCAGGGAACGCCTGGAGGTTCTGCCTTCCCGGGAAGCGAGGAGCGGAGGGTGCGGGGCCAGGATGCCTGTGCCCCATTGTCGGCAGCCCCACCGGCTCCACGTCCCCGGGGGTCGTTTTGCATCTCT